TGAACTGTCAGGGTCACTCCGTTCGCTGTCAGACTGCAGCTCCGTATGTCTCCTGTTTTTGGTATTTTCACGCAAATTCTTCTGCTAATTGGGGTTTAGTCCAATTCTCTATCCTTCCCTTCAAGGCTCAGGGGTCCACGATTATCTTTTGTGTCTGTGTTAATTGGTTTCCCTTTTCTTTGTTGAAGAGGGTCTGTACAATCCTTCTGCGTAGTCCACCATCTTGCCGGAACTCTCGAGAAGCCAACAAAGAAAATTTTAACTGAAGCTACAAATAAGAGAAAAACTTAGTATTTAGTAACCTTACTGTTGTAAGAGAATTTACATTCTCTGTCCTCCAAACCATACTGGTTTTAGTTAGTTCTTAGAAAGCCAGTGTAATAGGTAGATTCTTTTCAGAGGCATATAGCTTTTGTTGCTTTCAGAAATACTTTATAACTGTAATTAATCTAACAAAACTTTTCTAATATTCTCAGATCAGCATTTTTATAGTGGAATATTATTTGCTAATTGTTTCTAAGTAAAAAGATTATGAGATACAAATTAAAAATTGGCATGATATTTTTAATTATTTCAACTTTGTCTAATTTATATAAAATCTTAATCCTCATCCAAATTTCAAATCAATAGTACATAAAACATGATATTTTCTTTTATATAAAATAAACCAGTCTAAATTGTACTTGGTCAGATTTCTTAGTTTCTCATAAAGTGTGCGTCTTTTCATTTCTTGCATTCTTTATGCTATAACTGATACAGAGCTATTTTGATGTGTGTGTGTATATTATTTTTTATTTTTATTTTTTAATAATTTAAAGGCTTTCAGTCCTGATGGTCGTTGGCTAATAAGTGCTTCAATGGATTGCACTATTAAAACTTGGGATCTTCCATCTGGATGGTGAGTTTATTTTTAAATCCTTAACCTCTCTCAGGCTTGTCAGTGTCTTTGCAAGTGTTTTGTTTTTTTTTTCTGTAGTTACTAGATTATGTACTTTTTAAATTTTTTTAAATTTTACTTATTTTGTCATTGAGGATATAGGTAGTAAAACATACACCAATTCAACAGTTTCAACATATGCATTTCAGTGATGTGGATTACATTCTTTGAGTTGTGTAACCGTTCTTTTTTTCCTTTTCTGAGTTGTTCTTCTCCTATTAGTGTAAGCTCATTGCCACTTAAGCTTCCTATCTAACCTTTCAAGTTGCTGTTGTCAGTTTGTTCCCATATAGATCTTAAGAGATCATAATGCTCAATGCAGGCATTTACTAGTTTGGTTTTAAAGAAGACCTCAGTGGATATTTTTGGTTTAAGGTTTAAAGATTATGTGCTTTTGAGTATAAATATATTTGAGGATTTATCTAACCTGACTGTATTTTATCCTTCAGATGTTTCTAATCTCTAAATAGCATGGGATAGTGACATAAAATATAATAGTGTGAAAAATACAACCTTTGTTAGGTTTTCTATTGCTGTAAAACTAAGGTTTCACAGTGTGTTGCATGAACCATAGAAAGCTCAGTTGGCCTTTTTGATTCTCCAAAATAGAGCTCAAACTTTAGGACTCTAAACAAAAGGGTTTTTTAGTTCATGTTGAGTCTAGTTAAAAGATCAGACACTGTTTTTATATCTTACCATTTCTTGATATATCTAGCATATATCTTGAAGAAGACGTGTCAGATACCTTAAAGTAATGAAAATGTGTTTCTTAGGGTTTGGATAAAGCCCAGCAGTTTTCAGAAATCTGTTCTATAGGTTGTATTCCTAAACCAGAACTTAGATAGAACACCTTATCTAATTTTGCAAGGTGTGTGCTTATATATATGTGTGCCTTGTTGTTAAAGATTTATGTAGGAATGAATACATTTCTAAAATCATATCATTTAATGTGGAATTGCTTAGATTGAATCTGAAAGAAGTTTGGTGTTAATATAAAAATATATAGTTTAACAGAAACACACCATGAAGACAGAGATAGGTGAGAAAAATAAGAAGGAATATTCTCTGAAATATTCATAAATTAAACTCTACCCAATGTGTTTCCTCTTTCTCAGGAATGGTATAAGCCTCATACCTGAAAGGAATTTGACCTTTAGAAAGGAAAAACCCTAATGTCGTCATTCCCTTCAAGTCTAGTATAGCAAGGGACACACCTTAATTCTATCATGAACATCATATTTAGAATTAAAAACTGTTTTAAGAACAGCATTAAGATACTGGTGGTCTGTTGTTTCTTGGTCTTCTGCTATTTTCTAAAAAGGAGCATTATAATGTGAATTGCTTTACAGTAAGAAAGGTGTGCAAGTAATGGAATTACCATAATGCCCTTTTTACTCTCCCTTCCTAGTAGTTTTACTTCACATTAAGTAAGAGGAATCTGCCAATGTTCAATAATACTGAATTTGCAAAATAGCTTTTTTTTTTTTTTTTTTTTAAATGGTAAGTTATCTTTGGAATGAAAAAATTAGGATCTGAAAGTAGCCTTCAACACCACTGAATTTCTTCCTTCAGTAAAAAGTTGAAGAGTTGTAAATCTGACAGGTTTTCAACTCTAGTATCTTATTTTTAGGTTAACACTAAGGCAATTTTAAGTGGACTATGGAAACATGATTCTGGCCACTTTTGAAACATTAGACCAAGAAAATAAAGTACACCTGGCTTGTTAAAAGAAAGCCTAATAAGCCTGACTGGAAAATAGTATAGTTTTACTAAAGAAGAAAGCTTTACTTCTTTGTTTAGGATTTTAAGTGGAGCAAGTACAAGAGCTTGTAAAGCAGTATCACATATCTGCTGCTGCTGCTGCTGCTGCTGAATTACCACTAACATTTACCATGCCTGCAAGGCACTTTATTTGCTTTTATCTTTCATCTTCCCTCCTGACCTAATAGGGGTAGGTACTATTACTGGGTTTAGTTCCATTTCACAAATGGGAAATAGGAGGTTCAGAGAGAGATTAAGTGATCTGCCCAAAGTAACATAGTCTGTAAATGATGGAGCAAAAAATAAGTACCAGAGAAAGAATTAAATATCCCAACAGTTGTGATATCACCCTTGTTCAGGTTGTATTGTGTGTACTAAAGATGGATTGATTTTCTTGATGTAGCAGGTAGATAATAAAGAAGTGAGGATCATTATTAGCAATGATGAGAACTTTTAGGTTATAGAAACTTTAAAGACTTAGGTAATGTCCCCATGGACATATAAGCAACTCTGTCCTTAGAATATTTGAAGTGTGAAGAATTAAAAGTATTAGAGAAACTATACAAGGACCTGAAACTAAAATAACTTCATTTTTCTTTCATTTAAAAGTTGTGTACTATTTAAATACATAGTAGTTTATTTTACAGCCATAGGTAACTGTTAGGCTTTTTTATTTTCCCCTTTTAACAATAATTAGTATGGTGACCTTTGGAAGTCCTAGTTCTTTCTTCAGTAAGCTTGCATCATTTATATAATATGTTAATTAAAGAATGAACATATCCATCCCATAGCCTGAAAAGTGAAACTATGAGTAAACCTTTGCATGTAGTAACATTACAGGTGTGCCCATCTGGAGTTGTGCCTGCCTAAAACAAATTATATGAGTGCCACACTCTTTCCTGTAAAGTTTTTTCAAAATGCTAATTCCTTTTCCTCTTTGTAGGTTGCTCAGGAGCAGAGTTAAAATTTTTTGTTTCTGAATTTATCTAACATTGCCCTACCACCACTACGCTTTTCTTGCTGCTGCTGTTTTTTCATTTATTTGGAAGTTTAGGTTGAACTCTTTGGAGAGTGAGAAATGTTGAGAATTAAATTGTCTCTGGTAGCATAGTGCCTAAGGCACTTGACTGCTAACCAGAAGGCTGGCGGTTGATTCAAACCCACCAGCCTCTCCTCGGAAGGAAGGTTGGGCAATCTACTTCTGTAGTGATACTGCCTCGGAAACCCAAGGAGGGGTCGCTATGAGTCAGGTCTGACTCGATGGCACATACCAATGACAACAACAACAATGGAATTTTGTGCTTTGTTCTATCCCACCCCTGCACCCTGCTTTCTGAGGAGCATTATGTGAGAATAATTGTAATAGAACATTGGTTTGCTTGCTTTTTACTAACGTAGAACTTACCTTTGTCCTACTCTTCAAAGATTCCTGTGGAAGGCAATTCTGTTACTTTGAAGATACAGCATGTAGACATTGTCTGGATTTAGAATAATGAAAAGACTTACTGAATGTTAAGCTATATATTCAGTGCTTTACTTAAAAGTCAGATCCCTTACAATGGAAATTTTATTAATATTCTATCAGAAAATAATGTAATGTACCTGAGACTTTTCATTTTGTGGGATTAGCAGGAAATGGTATGGCAGTTTTGGGTCTAGGATTAAGCTTACATACTGTGTTTATGAACTGTATATTTAAGAACTAATATGACAATGTAAAATTCTGCTGTGTCTGTGGAAACCACCTTCTTCAATTTAGTGCTTTTACTTAATGGAAAGCCAGTCTACCCACACAAAGTAGCTGTGGAAATAAAATTGCACAATTTGACAAAATATAGTTTCAAGTAAAATAAATTTCCTCAAGCAATACATTTTCTCTTTAATGGGTAGATTTTGAACATGTTAGAGAGTTCCACCCCTCACATATTTAAACTTTTGATGAGCAAATATTTATCATGACAAAGAAGAAATGATAAGATCTGAAATTACCCTAAATTGGATTTAATCTTTATAGATTGAGATAAAGAAAGCTTCTGCTCTGGGTTGTTCAGTGTTCTGGGTCATGCTCATTCAGACTACTTTCACATAATAACTTAGTTGATAAAACTTTTTATTTGTTAGTGATGACTTTCTGAGGTCAATGGTTTTAAAAAGCAAAAATGAAAAATTTCTTCATCCTTTGCTCCTGAAAGCAAAAATATTCTGTTTAAATTTATTTATCTTTTTAGGTAGAATTCAAGTATTTTAACATTGTAATTCTTTTTACCAGCCTTATAGACTGCTTTTTGTTGGACTCAGCCCCTCTCAATGTTACTATGTCACCTACTGGAGACTTCCTAGCCACATCCCACGTGGATCACCTTGGAATTTATCTATGGTAAGTTCTTTCATACCGGCTTCCTGTTTTTTGATATAGAGAAGAAAGGTGATACCACCAAAAACAGTTCTAAAATTGCCATTTTGTTTAAGAGTGTCACACAATTAACACAGGTAGCAAATTCATCTTAGTTCTATGCTTTGTTTAAGTGCATTTTCTAAACTATGTGACTGATTATTAATCTGTTTACATACTTGCCTTTCAGGAAAAGGTAGGTAGATTTTTAAAAATGTTAGTGAACTTAGCATTTGACTGCTAGCTGGAAGGCTGGCGGTTCAAACCCGCCAGCCACTCCTAGGAAGGAAAATTGGGCAATCTGCTTCCGTAGAAATACCGCCTCAGAAACCCAAGGAAGGGTCGCTGTGAGTTGCATCCAGCTTGATGGCAGTGAGTTTGGTTTGGTTTTTGGTTTTAGTGATAACAGAGCTCTAGGTGTAGAATCCCCAGCTAAGCCTTGGCCTTCCTGCCACTACCCTATGACTGTTTTGTGATTTTGGCTGGTCACTTCTGAACTTTGACCCATTTTATCTGTAAGCTATCAGTGCAGACAAAATGCTTTCTAAGATTTCTGGTTCCATTACTGTTTATAAACGTGTAAAGATATTTATGGTATTCTTCAAATTTTATGATGAACCTGTAAGAGACTACCTGATCACTCAAAATAAAAGGAATATCATCTGGGTCTAGAAAGTTTTTCTCTTATTTTCTACATTTATATCTATTTCTTTTAACTCTTTTTGTTGTTTTTGTTGTTGTTGTTATTTGCCATCGAGTTGGACCCGACTCATAGCGACCCCTCACTACAGAAGTAGATTGCCTCATCTTCCTTCCGAGGAGTGGCTGGTAGGTTTGAACCGCCAGCCTTCTGGTTAGCAGTCAAGTGCCTTGGCCATTGTGCTACCAGAGCTACTTTAACTCTTTCTAGGGGAATGAAAAAATTGATTTATTTTCTAATTCTAGTTAGATTTTAAATACCAAAATAAATTTTGTGTACAATGGAAATAGATTCTGATCACCTGAATAATCAAAATGGTGTATCACCTGTAATCCATGAGGCTTCAGTAATCAACACAACTGAAGAATAGTAGCTATGATTGTTCATCATCAGAGATATGGACCTTCTCTAGGTGGTGCTGCTCTTAGTGAAACTTAGAACCTGAGATTCCCAATTCTTATTTTCCATTCCAGAATCAGATAGTCTGAGAGAGATGATCTGATTAGCCCACCTTGGCTACTTAGGGGATATCCATGACTGGTCAGCAACCCTGAGAATTTAGCGAGCTTATTCTCTCTCTGACTTTACTTTCTGAGTCCATCTTCCCTTTGGTTAAAAGTTACGTAAATGAAAGTTGATATCTAAAAACATGTGGAAGCTATTTAACCACTAGTCTCTTAAATTAGCATACTTTTTGGACTATATTTTTTAAAATTCCATTGATAATAAGTTTATGCTAAACTTTTTTTGTGGTACATCAAGACATTTTAAAATTAACAGTCTGTCTTTGAGGTTTTTTCATAACTGTTAACTGATTGGAGCCTACAGCCAACCTCAGTTGTAATTGTAATTGATGTTGCTCTAAGGAAAACATGTTTTTATTAAGTTTTCAAATACTTGCTTGTGCTGTTTTGATTTCTTAGGTCCAATATTTCCCTGTATTCAGTTGTTTCATTACGGCCACTTCCTACAGATTATGCCCCTTCAGTAGTGATGCTTCCTGGTACCTCTCAAATCCAAGGTAATCAAAATAGTAAGATAATTTTTGAGATTTGAACTTTTACCTAATATAGGGGCCATTGTTGCTGCAGATGAAGTTTAGTGCTTGCAAAGTTTATTTTCAACTTACAAGAAATGTTTGAGTGACTTCATGAGTTTATGCAAAAAATACAATTGATGTAGTATCAAGTCAAATAGTAGACCAGTAAAGAGATGCTTTGGGTCTGTAGATGAGAGTGGCAGTTAATCTGAAAAATTGAGGAAAAGAGAGATCAGGAAGTAAGTGGAGTATTTATAATGCTAAATGAAGTAAACATGTTATACCAATGGATTTGGAATGAATTAAGTTATTTTTATATGACAAAAATCTTATTTTGCATTAATTTTTTTACCTGAAATTTTGTTTTAAGATGTAG